CTCTCTCTCTCTCTCTCTCTCTCTCTCTCTCTCTCTCTCTCTCTCTCTCTCTCTCTCTCTCTCTCTCTCTCTCTCTCTCTCTCCACACAGACATACTGAGACGAAGCACATTTCATGGACGAACTTCGCCAGCTGCTCAAGCATATGCATTCCCATACTGATAATTGATGACATTTTATCATGGAAGACATCTCCGCCCTCCCCTGCTCGGTATGGTCTTGAGTGGAAAGACACTAGTGAGCACAATGGGTCATGTCTTTTCCTTGGGGCTAAAATCCTGGTTTGGCCAGACGGCTCACTCCACATCGGCATGTTCGATAAGGCTGAGGCGTGGACATTCCCTGTTATACAATATCCCAGTGCTTCCTCCAATGCCCCGGCTTATCAGCCTGCAGGTGTCCTTACATAAATAAAATAAGGTGCTTGTTTTGTTGTGGCGGCTGCGTTGACTCTTTTGGGTGAGTTGCGGGACAGCTTACGAGGTTCAAACATATCTGTAGCAGTACTATCGACTTCAAAGCTGCAGAGACTTCCCTGACACGGTGTATGCTTGTTAGGGGCCAGTGTCCTGGCCAGAGGCTGGACATCATCCCCTTAGTCATCTGCTCCCCGACTTCCTCTTCCTCTTCTCCCTCTTCCTCCTCTTCATCCTCCACCTCGCATGCCTCCCCTTCGTCATCGACCTCATTATCAACACATTCATGGTTAGATTAGCCGTCACAAAGGCCCTGTCGGCAGAGGCATCCAGCCTCGCAGATGCCTCTTCAGCGGAGAGGTTCCCCATCTCCACGCCGCCTCCAAGACAGCGGCCTTGCCTGTCCTGGAACATCATGATTGTCGCGACCCCTGCAGGGGTTAGAGATCTGCTCTGACGACATGCTCGCAACTGTACGAAACGACATCCTTGCTCACAGTATACACTAGCCAGGAAAAGTACATATTTAGTCCGATGCCAGCAATGTGGCGATTATTTCTTCAGCGCTGCAGGCTTGCGTGTGCACCGAACATGAGGTGCAGCTATGTGCGCAGTATTTGCACAACTAGCAGCCACTCTGAGCACAAGTGCGGCTGATCAACCTCCGCTTCCTGCACAGCTGGAGGAACTTGACAGAAATGGTCAAAACCACAATTAATCTCCGCCTGCCGTGCAGTCTGTAGAACTGGATGAACCTTCCCCTGCCATACAACTGCAGAATCGGATGATGTCATGGTGCTACAGTGAGGACGCTGTGCTACAGCGGAACCTTTGTGAGATTGTATTACAAAACGAGTTTGCGAAAGAAGTGTTTCCTGTGATTTCTTGGACGGAGCAACTCTGCTGACGAGCCCGTGGGATTCAGATGCGAAGCGTTTGCTCTTCGAGCCTTTGCCAAGGTGGATAACGTCATGTGCTAAGAAATGGAATCCTTCTCCCGTAGTGTCTATGCGAGTTTGATCAGGCACAAAGTGCAGATGTTAACCTAAACCATCTCATTGCTGATATGGCTCGGCTTCCGAACCATACGTGAGACTTTCGCCTCATATGGCTCTTCTCAGAATCTATATTGATAATGTTTTTGTAACCTAAGACTCCAGTAAATTAGGTCACCATCAAAGACTCTTGGTGGAACGGAACACTTCGTGTTTGCAACTCTTTTTGATCCAACTCAATCGAATGAGATTGAATTGGCGCCGCTGCCACTTCGTGGGCTTGGACATGTAAGAGTCATACAAAACCCAATTGTCTCGATATTTTTTACCATGAAAACCAAGCCAGGTTTGATTCTCAGGAAAGTACTTGTGCTTGATTCTTTGTCGACCCCAGGTAGGGTGTCTACGAAAGACCCATGCACAAAGTTGTTGAAATATCCGGAAATCCATACGGTGAAAGATTGCAGAGCATTCCAGAATCTGTTATTGGGCTCGCTATTCTTGTTATTACTTGGTTAGGATAACGGACTTGATACGTGAAGCCGGTCCCATTCCGGGCCATACGTTACTGTCCATGTCTCAAGCAGGCGGCGGGTGTAGACCAAGGACCAAGACTCATCGTTTATGACATGGACTACCAGAGTCATTTTGAATTTAAATCAAAATGACTCTGTAACTTCGGGATTAGGAGTGGAAAAGCAAAGCGAAAAAACACAAAAATGATTTGGGAGCGAAGCTGTATGAAAAACAGTTGCTGGAAAGGAAAACCACTCAAAGAATTAACCTATGTGGGGGACCTTTTGGGTTTGGGATGCTCGAAACACTTTCGTACTAATACTGCTATTTATCTATTTAGGTGCACTACGTTTTCTATTCTTTTCTGCATATGTAGCTTCTCTTTTTGTTTGTATAGGTCTCATAAAAATACCAATAATGAAATTCTCTTTAAATTGGTGGAACACTTTCCATCAAAGGCCGAAGGCTTTCTGTTTTTATGTATTTGGGTTCGTGCAACATTTCCACGATATCGTTATGATCAATTAATGAGACTTGGCTGGAAAGTCTTCTTGCCTTTATCATTAGCATGGGTAGTTTTTGTATTTGGTGTTTTAGTAGCCTTTGACTGGCTACCTTAACCACTGCCAGTATTTACTCTTAGGTGCCCACGTAGTGGTGGGTGCCACAAGATCTCTTCGATATCAACGTCTTCAGATAAGCACAGGAGCGCAGAGGTTAGGCAGCGAAGTAGTTTATGTGTATCTGGAACTCAACAAAAAAAAACAAATTGCGCATGACATCAATGAAAGTGGGATGCTGAAAGATCACTGTGGAAAAAGAAAGGCAGTGATCTTTCTATTCAACGAAATTGCAAGTCAACCATCAAACAAAATATAAGATATAACTGAATTTTAAAAAACAAATCATCTCATTTAGAAGTTAATTATCAAACTTTGATGGCTGTTTTGTTATATGAACCTCAACAAATTCAATTTCCATACCATATAGATTTAGATGTTTTGAATTAGTACTATGCCATTAATGTATGTCTCCATCCTTTTAGTTGCAACCCTTTTACTGCTCTTGATCTTGCAGACATTGTCCGCTGGATAGAAGAAGAGCACCGTGCCTTCTGCCCAGATGATGACAGTACCGCACCTAGCATGAACATAGAAGTCCTGTCTATGGCATTTGTGGGTAGGCGACTGTAACACCAACCTGCTCTACAAAATCACGTGCCAGAAATGGATCCGAATATCCGGGCATACATCTTACATCGTCCAGGTCATTTCAGTGCTATTACCTTTGCGGATAATTCATGGACCCTATGGGATAATGGCGGTAGGGTGCACACAGCTGGAGATATCAACTCTTTATCACCAAGCTGTAGAACATCACTCGGTCTGGCTCGTCCATCATGAACAGTATGTCGATGAGCGCTCACAAGCACTACAGGCTCTGGAGAGCCCCTGTGCATGTGGATCGGATGGAGTCTACCACGAACATTGAAGGGACCTCTCCAGTAGATAGTGGTTGTGCCCCCATTGTGTCGTTTCACAGCTACAGTTCGGTTAGCATGTATACGACATAGCCTCTGCTCCGAACACTGTGAAGAGATGGTTGCTGCCAGCTTCCGCCACGAAAACTGTGATTCTTTGTCTTGTTCTCAACCCCCCAACCTCTGATTACTTTCCCAGCATGTCGTTGTGGCTCTGATCTGCCATGCTTAATTAGATGTGCACATCAGCCTTCTTTATTGCTGACATGTCAGCAACATGCCATATGTCGTCAATGTTTCCAGGAAGCTGTCATGGAAAGTCTGTGTCTCTAGTGCGTGGACTATCCTCGGTGCCATCGTCTAGCGCATCCTCTCCTAGCATGTCCCGCATGCGGTGTTGGGCATACACGCAGACGTATTTCCTCCTTCCTTGCCAAATGACCGACAGATGCAGCTGTAGTAACCCTGTTCAAAACTCAGCCCCAGGCAACGCAGACCTGAGTTGGTCTGCGCTGGGCTGTGTGACCAAGACACGCCCAGGCCTGAGTCTGTCGCGTATGGCTGTGTGACCGAACGCTGCACACAGGAAAATTCAAGGGTCAAAGTCAACTGTAGAGTCAAAGGTACCGCACCCAGGCCCTAGGTTGGATACACTCACTTGTTGTGCACAGGTACCCTGACAGCATCCAGGCCGGAGGGAATTCAGTTTCAGACCAATCTGGGCCCTCGTTTGCATTGAGATCTGGACGGCTGAGGGAGGCAGCATCCGGGGTCCAGACCCGCGTCAACGCTACATAAGCGCTGACTTCCTGGCTTTGACATTCATTCTGTCTTGCGTCAATGCTGACTTCACGCATTGACGACGCGACGCTGGCTCGACGCTGCGACGCTGGTGGACGCTGGCTTTGTGCTGCCATTTGGGAGATTGCGGCGATGCACTGCTAGCCCGGCATGGTGGCTGGCTGGCTATTGTCTTCAAGGCATGCTGACGTGGCAGTTGCCACGAGTTGTTGCTGACGTGGCTGCTGCCACGTGTTCTATAGCTGGGACTATGTGACCGACACTGGTGTTCTGATTCATCGTCACTCAAGAGGAGATCAGGACTGTGTCTTCATGTCGACATTGCTCCAATGCGCTGATGAGGGACTAATTGAACGTGCCACGTGGCACATTGAGGTTACTTCAGATACTCGTTCAGACTATTGATTATTGAGGTGGTGATCGAGGAGGGAGCCCGAAGCAGCAGTGGGCCTTGTATTTATTTCCTCTCCTTTGTCTAATCTCCCTCCTCTCTCCTTCATCTGTGTATGATTATCTCATCTCATTCTGTCTGGACACGATTTTGACTATTGGTAATCATCAGCTGGTTGACATTCATCTGGGCTTGCATTGTTGACAAGTGACTTCACGATCTGGGTTCATTGCAATTTGGTATCGGAGCATACTACTGATGATGATGCGCACCAGATAAGTGACACATGCATGTATGATGTGATGACTACGAGATCTGGTGTGGATAACGACAACGATCGCTGGTGAGGCTGACGTGACCGTGAATCAGCCAGGATCGCGATATTGAGGTCGCGATCCCTTGCTGACACGGCATACTTTGTGCCACGTCCAGGGACTTTGTCGCTGCAGATTGCTGACGTGGCAATCTCACGCGCGACTTGGTCCTTATGAGGTGTTGACGTGGCCTTGGACGACGAGGTTGACTGCTGACGTGGCAGGGAAGGTTCATCACACCAGTCTCCTTGACGTGGCGATCACCTGCTGACGTGGCATTGGCTCCATTGGCTGATGCGGCATTGTCTCGATCGGCTGGTACGGCGACGGTATCACAACAAGACACGTGGAAGTGGCACGTGCGAAGGACAGAGGACACATTTGCTGACGTGGCATCCCCACCGCTGGTTGATTGGATATTTATGTGCTGACGTGGCAGGATCTGTTGTGTTGGCACTCCAAGGATGACACGTGGCAGCCAGGTGTCTGCCAAGTAAGAGCAACACTCCGAAGACGGCGGTGGTACGGGTGATTGAAAGATTGCCGAGACAGTTGTAGTGCCAGCTGTCACGAGGGGTGCAACATCGCATTGACATTAGGACGACACAGAGGGAAAGAAAAAGAAGGATTGCTGACAAACTGTTTGCTGTTGATGTTGGCATACTTACCTTGTCGTTTGCTGTGGTGTGGTGCTGAGCGTACTTGTGTGTTGTATCTGATCACACGGGCCTGGCGTGGTACCTGTACACTCTTGATTAGGACGTCATCACACAGACAGACAAAGAACAACAATAGTTAAGAATTGAAATAATTGTATTTATTTTTCTCTTTGGTTGTTAGAAATCCTACTGTTGTAGATCAGTGCGGCCGTGGAATTTATTATTGTTAATCAATTATTTATTGTGCGGCCGACGCACGTCACGATGTCTCTTGTTTGGAATTTCCTGAAATTGTCAGTGCTTACTCGTTTTATTCACTTTCTCTTCTATCAAGTCTCACTCATGTTTGCTATTGATGAGGAGACTCCTGACCCCCGAACCAGGCAGCAAGTGGAAGAGCGGAAACGAGTCTTGATTGCCCGTTTGGACAAACTGATGTCTGAACTTCATGGCGCCGCTGTTGAGACTGAGGCTCGTATCCGGAGCCAGTTCGATTTAAGAGCATTACGTGATGCTATTGAATCGGCTGAGACTGGCACCGACGTCATTCAGGTTCAATTGTTCACGTCAGGCACTTGATAAGTATATTACGGATCAGCTCTCCAAGATTGCTGATCATAAAGAAGAAAGAGCAGGGGTTGTGTCCGAAGAAGCCGTGGACGAAAATATATGACAACTTGAAGAAGCACTTGAGAAGGAAAAGAGAAAGAGGGAAGAAATGAGGCGAAGAAGAGAAGAAAATGAACAGCAAGCGCAGAAAGTTCAAGAAATCAGACAGACAATTATTCGGACAAAAGGAGAAGAATAGGCAATCTCTGTGGCTCAACTTGTGACTTACCTTGCCCACCTGGAGATGAAGATTGACGAGACTGTTGCACGGATTGATGATGTGGCCGCGGGATTACAGACAATCACGAATCTGGTCAAGGGAAAGAATCAGGTGATAGACGACGTCAAAGTAGAGAAGGAAGAAAAGTCAAAGAAGCTGATTGGAGATGTTGTGAAGTCTCTTAAAGTAGAGACTTCCAAATTGGACGAGAAGAAAAAGGAGCCTTCGAGTCCGCCAAAGTCTCCCGATGGAAAGAAGGATACCACCACACCACCTGAGAAACCGAAAAGGAAGGAGAAAGTCAAAATGAAATTGCCTTTCACATTCTGCAACAAGAAAGATGAAAATTTATTGTTGTGGATTGTCGAAATTCAAACATACTGTAGTACGGACTCTGTTGAACCCGAGTCTCAAGTTGCTTTCTCTACCTGTCTTGGGGGGGAAGCAACGGAATGGGTTCTGACCGAAGTCAATGCAGCAGGGTTTGATGACATTGGGGAGTGGGTTGAAACTTTGAACCTCAAGCAGTTCCTTAGTAAGATCAAGGAACGGTTTTTGGACAAAACGACGGCCGACAAGGCCTTTGACCAGCTCACCACAATTGGTCAGAAACAATGGACCTCTGTGGAATCGCTGTCTAGGGAAGTTGATCGGTTGCTGCAGGTTCCTCGATTGAACCTGCAAGACAACCAAGTCTTGTACATCTATTCCCGTGCTCTGCTCGAGCCCATCCGTGGACAACTCGTGACAGAGTCAAAGTCCGGCAAGTATAATTATAGGCAGTTTCGGGATCTGGCTCTCCAACGAGAGCAAATGACTTCTCAGGTTAAGAATTTGTATGCGTCTGTTGTGAAGTTTAGTGGTGGTGCAGCTGCAGGAAAGCGGATACTTTGGCGCCAAAAGCGTCAGGACCACACCCTTGTCGTCTTTGATGACGATATTGTGGAGAAGTGGTCATTGGAGGCCGAGGATGTGCCGAGCAGCAGTGATTCCGGGAAGGGGGAAGTCACTGCTGCCGTGGTCAACAATGGAGGACCACGACTGCCAGTAATGAAGAAGAAGAAACCACGCTCGTTTCCTGAGCATCCCGGAATTGCGGCCGAGAAGCCATGGGAAAATATAGGAATGACACAAGAAACCTGGCAAGAACAGATGGATAACGCGCAATGCCTGAAGTGTGATACTCCAGGTCGTGTGATTGCGTGGTCCCCATTAATCCGTAACCCAAAAGCGAGCCGCCAGTAGGAGTAGCATTTGCTCCTACTGAGTCTAAGGGTTTGGATGAAGATGAAGGTAAGGCTCCTACTAACTCTTCTAACCCTTTGACTCATATGGAAGAGGATGGTTCTTCTTCGGCCCATCGTCCGGAACACCCTGAACCTGTTTTATGTATTGTCTCTCTGGACGACTCTCTTGACAAGCTTGGTAACGAGTTGCCAGCATTACGAAGCTCGTGGGCTAAGAAATCAAAGTCTAAAGGTGACCTACTACTCGCGGACGTAGAGATTGCTCGTACGCGCGTAGGTGCACTGTTGGACTCAGGATCCACGCGATCCTACATATCAGAGAAAGCAATCCGCAAGTTGCATCTCGGAATGAAGGTAAAGAATCGGTCTCGATCGATCACGTCTATCCTAGCTGACAAAAGCACGATCATTGTCTCGCAATATGTTGATCGTGTGAAGTGTCGATTTCGTACCAAGGAAGGAAAGAAGATTGTTCACGAGGTTTCCTTTCTTATGGAGAAGAAGTTACCTTTTGATTTGATTGTGGGAATGAACTGGCACGAGGCAGTCAACCCAGATATCAATTTCAAAGAGGAGATTGTGCAATTGTGTGATGCACAAACTGAATTGAAACCAATCAGATTGTATCATAAGTCTGGCTCTGACTCTAGTCTCTCTTTCTGTTGTATGAGTTACCTAACATTTCGTTCAATGGTTTCAAAGAAGAAATTGGAACAGGAAGTAATGATGGTCCTAGTAAAGAAAGTAGGTGAATGCTCTACTTCCTGCCCTCCTTCGATTGAGAAATGATTGGATGAGTATAAAGATCTACAAATCGAACCAACAGGAATAACTGCGCGTGCTATAAAGCACACCATTGAAATTGTTCCTGGCAGTAAGATTCCCAAGGGCCTTATCTACAAAATGTCTCATAGGGAACTCGAGGAACTCAGAAAACAACTGCAGGACTTAATAGAGAAAGGATGGATTTGCCCTAGCTCTTCTCCTTATGGTGCCCCTGTCCTGTTTGTGCCCCCAAAAGAAGGTGAGTTGCGTCTCTGTATTGATTATGGAGGGTTGAATGTCGTCACTGTTAAGAATGTCGAACCTCTTCCACGAATTGACGACTTGTTGGACCAGTTGCAAGGCTACAAGTTCTTCAGTAAAATTGATCTGAAGTCTGGGTACCACCAGATCGAGGTGGATCCTGCAGATCAACACAAGACTGTATTCCGAACAAGGTATGGTCACTACGAGTTTGTGGTAATGCCTTTCGGACTTACTAATGCCCCAGTGACCTTCCAAAGATCTATGAATGAACTCGTTCGTCGATGGTTAGATCGGTTCGTCATTGTCTATCTCGATGACATTTTAGTGTATAGTAAGACACTAGAAGATCACGAGAAACACCTACGTCTAGTGTTAGCAAAGTTGCGTGAGGGCAACTTCAAGCTAAATTAAAAAAAGTATGAATTTGCTAAGTCCGAAGTCTTATACTTAGGACATATAGTAAACGAAGATGGCCTAAGTCTAGAAGGAAAAAAAATATCAGCAATTAGAGATTGGCCACGACCTAAGTCGATAACTGAACTATAAGATCTTTCCTTGGTTTGGCAAGTTATTATAGGAAGTTCGTTAGGAACTTCTCACGGATCGCAGCACCAATGAGAAAATTATTGAAGAAAGAAAATGTTTGGTTGTGGGACAAAGACTGTGAGTCTTCGTTCAAAAAGTTGAAATATGCATTGACTCACTACCCAGTTCTGAAAATTGATGATCCGTCTCTACCTTTCATTGTCACTATCGATGCAAGTCAGTATGGGATTGGCGTTGTTAGCGAGCAGGATGACGACAAGGGCTTATGTCTGCACGACTGCCGTCGGAAAAGGTTGCCAACTCCACCTATGAAAGGGAGTTGTATGCCTTAGTCTGTGCACTAAAGATGTGGAAACACTACTTATTAGGGAGACACTTTATTGTGTACTCAGACCACTCTACTCTGAAGTGGATAAAGACACAGCCTAGGCTCTCTGATAAGCTGATACGATGGTCTGCGTTTATTGATACCTTCGATTTTGAAGTGAAAACGATCAAAGGTAAGTCTAATGTGGTTGCAGACGCATTGTCCGGACGGAGTGATTTCTTTGGTGCAATTGTCTCTTACTTGGATGTTGGGAATGACCTGAAAGACTAGATTCACCAAGGATATGCTACTGATCCCATCTTGAAACCAGTGATGGATATCCTTGTACGAGATCCGTCCCAACTACCCAACTATAGACTGACTGATGGGTTGTTGTTCTTGATTGACCAAACCGAACAAAGATTGTGTATTCCTCATAAGGAAGAGATCAAGCGTCTATTGATTGGGGAATGTCACGATTCTGAGGGTCATTTTGGTTTCAAGAAAACGTATGCTGAAGTCAGAGAACGTTTCGAATGGAAGGGACTTAAAGAAGATGTACTAACATATGTTTGTACTTGTTTAGTGTGTCAGAGAAACAAGTTGTCGCATGAGAATCCCCTTGGACTTCTCAAGCCATTATCTATACCAAGCGAACCGGGTGAGTCTATCTCAGCTGACTTCATGAGTCTGGTTAAAAGTCGCAATGGTAATAGTCAAGTGATGGTAATTGTAGACCGTTTCTCTAAATACGTTATGTTTGTTCCCTTACCAGCAGAAGCGCGTAATGAACTTGTCATTCAAAAATTTCGGATGCGATGGGTCACTGAGTATGGGTTCCCTAAATCCATTGTGTCTGATCGAGATGTCAGGTTCACCAGTCTGCCATGGCAAAAGCTGATGGAAGCTTATGGCACGCGGTTGACCATGTCGTCAGGGAGGCATCCCGAAACGAATGGCTAGACTGAGCAGATAAACCGTTTGTGTCAACAACTTTTGCGCATGTATGTTAGACCCGATCAGATTGATTGGGACGAGAACTTACCCAAAATTGTGATTGCATATAACAACGGTGTCCACACTTCCACTGGACGAACCCCGAATGCACTTCACAAAGGGTGGAAACCTAAACGTCCCATTGATGTATTAAACTGGGACCAGTTCCTTAGGTTGCCCCCAGGGACCCGAGAATATGCAATATTATTCCAAGAGGACATTCAGAAAGTTAAAGATAATCTAAGGAAAGCTTAACTACGAATGGTTGAACAAGTCAACAGGCACCGTCGACCGTCTACATTCAAAAAGGGTGATCTGGTTTGGGTAAAATCTAATGAGTTTTCACTAGAGAAGGATGCGTCCCAGAAATTGCTTCCTGTCTATTTTGGACCTTGGGAAGTTCTCAAAGTAATTTGAGATGCAGAGGGACCGTCTTATCGCATTGATATTCCCCCTCATCTCAAAACATATCCTGTCTTTCAGGCGTCCAAACTGTTACCCTATGTAGAAGGAAATGAGTTCCCACACAGACCTTCTATGATCCCGCCAGACATGGACGGCGGATACGAGGTAGAAAAAATCATAGAGCATGGGTACTTTTCTAGAGGTGGGCGTGGATGACCCCAGAAGCAGTTCAAGGTACGTTTTAAGTCTCAGGCACCATCTGAGGACAGATGGTTTAGTAAACGAGAGCTGCTTGAAACTGCTCCTGATATTGTCGCTGCTTATGAACGAGGGTTAAAGTCTTAAATATTTCTGCGGTGGAACTCGGAAATGGGCCGGTAGGAATGTAGTAACCCTGTTCAGAAGTAGCCTGGGGCCCAGAACTCAGCCCCAGGCAGCGCAGACCTGAGTTGGTCTGCGCTGGGCTATGTGACCAAGACATGCCCTGGCATGAGTCTGTCACGTATGGCTGAACGCTGCACACAGGAAATTCAAGTGTCAAACTCAACTGTAGAGTCAAAGGTACCACACCCAGGCCCTGGGTTGGATACACTCACTTGTTGTGCACAGGTACCCAGACAGCATCCAGGCCGGAGGGAATTCGGTTTCAGACCAACTGGGCCCTCGTTTGCATTGAGATCTGGACGGCTGAGGGAGGCAGCATCCGGGGTCCAGACCCCGCGTCAACGCTACATAAGCGCTGACTTCCTGGCTTTGACATTCATTCTGTCTTGCGTCAATGCTGACTTCACGCGTTGACGACGCGACGCTGGCTCGACGCTGCGACACTGGTGTGGACGCTGGCTTTGTGCTGGCATTTGGGAGATTGCGGCGACGCGTTGCTAGCCCGGCATGGTGGCTGGCTGGCTATTGTCTTCAAGGCATGCTGACGTGGCAGCTGCCACGCGTTGCTGCTGACGTGGCTGCTGCCACGTGTTCTATAGCTGGGACTATGTGACCGACACTGCTGTTCTGATTCATCGTTACTCAGGAGGAGATCAGGACTGTGGAGACATCATGGATACTTACCTGATTGTCTTCATGTTGACATTGCTCCAGTGCGCTGATGAGGGACTGATTAGACGTGCCACGTGGCACATTGAGGTTACTTCAGATACTTGTTCAGACTATTGATTATTGAGGTGGTGATCGAGGAGGGAGCCCGAAGCAGGAGTGGGCCTTGTATTTATTTCCTCTCCTTTGTCTAATCTCCCTCCTCTCTCCTTCGTCTGTGTATGATTATCTCATCTCATTCTATCTGGACACGATTTTGACTATTGGTAATCATCACCTGGTTGACATTCATCTGGGCTTGCATTGTTGACGAGTGACTTCACGATCTGGGTTCATTGCACAGCAGCCTGATGAGGAAAATAGACTACGACGATGACGATGGAGATTGAGGTAACGAGGTGAGCGCTGTCTGCCATATCCGAGAGCTTGTGTCTCGTTCCCAATTCTACCACGGTGGAATCTAGGGCAGAGATTGCATGAGGGCGAAGTGCCTGGCTGAATGTTCAGCCTGCTCCAACCAGGGTATTCGGGATACCTATCGTCTGTGAGAGTGAGTTGAACTTTGTACGTCCCTGGCCAATTGCACACAATCGCTACCCTCTTCATTTGGATTGTACTTTTCACCGCCATTGATCTGAGAGCCTCCGCCCCACTACCGATAGTTTCCCCGATCTAATCTGTCCACCCATCCATCAGATTGGATGGTGCAGGAGAAGTGGTGTTTCAAAGCAAATCCTGCAGCAGCTAAACACCTTTTCTTTGGATCAATCCCCGTCGTCGTCTGTCCATAGAGAGGGAGTAAATACTGAGGAAACCCTAGAAACCTGCTTAATGACGTGCGAACCAAAACAAGAACCGACCTTTCAATACAAGTATAAGATAGCACAACGGAAGACTTAAATACCAGTGATCCGAACAATCAATGTTGTAATGCAGCCCTGAACATACATCATCATCATCGTTACATGGTGTGAATGGGCCTGGC